AGAAACATTGGAGGCTCTACGAAACCAAATTTAGATGTCCTGGGATACAATACACCATAAAACATCAATCACCCAATCCAATCAATGCCGCGATGACTTAACGAATGTGTAGCGAACAGAGGAGCTTCAACACATTATTAACATTAAGGTGGGATGGGATATCTCAGTTATTTTGGAAAATTTCGAGTTAAAATTTTAATCACTTTCTATTTATCCGTAGACCTAAAACTTGTAAAAGTATGCTCAAAATTACAGCACTCCTAGTCGGTATTGCATTTTCTATGTCATTTAGTATAATAATCAATTTGTACTATTTTGTGTCTTTGGAATACTATTTGCCATACGATTTCCTTAAAGAGAGACAATTTAGTAAGGTTTCTTTGATGTTTAAATAATATAGGACTCTCAAAAGAATGAAGATGACGTTCTACCTAGCAGACATAAATTTTACAAAGCCTCCTGCCTCCACTGCCCAGGCAAAAAATTGTGCCTGATTTGAGATATGATCTGCCAAGCCAGGTCATGGAATTTTAGTTCGGACCCATAAATAATCCAGAAACTACTAATTTGAGAAGTAGCCCAACTAAAAAAGTAGAGTTATAAGCTTTTGGTAAAAGAACTATTCAGCCGTAAAAGCTCTCTATTGTTGTTGCCTGAACTCCAAAATGCTGGCTTAATGTTGTGTGGAATGCAAATTAGCTTTCTGCATCATATTTGTTCTAAAATCTGGTATTTAAAATATTCTTAGAGCATAGTTATACAACACCTTATAGGACAAATTTAGAACTGTTGCATAAACGTTTATACAACTATTTTATACGGTATATTTGCGCGGTAGTCAAAATAGTTGTGTTGTGGCACCCATAGTAACGTTTATACGACAATCCCGAGCCTTGTTTTGGTGTGCAACTTTACTACTTTAGCCAACAGATTGCTCCCAACGGAAGCACTTGTACAACTGTCGTTTACTAACTGTTAAAGGCTGTACAACTACAACAATATTACAAATAGTACAAAATTGCTGTACTCGGCATACATTTCTTGCTAAATATGTTAGTATACAACTTCACCATAACCTAACTTTCTGCTGTCATCTTTTTAGTTAAAATGCCCTAACCAATATTTTAGACAAACAACGCATGCATATTGGTTTAAAAGGCTTTGTCAAACAGAGGATATAGATCTGGTACAAATTCTGGGTAAATCATTCGACTGTCCGTATTTCATGTCAGAGATTTGTCAAATTGTTATAATGGACAACCAACACGGACGCAGGAAAGTAAACGCATATTAAAACAAGAAAGATTGATATTCAAATCAAGTTGGGTACTTTATTTTGAAGGTTCATTTATACCATTTATGTATGAAAAATAATATCGCTCAAATGTTCACCACGACTGGATTTACAGACGTCCACGCGATGGTCGAAATTTTCAATGACATTTTGCAACATGGTCGGATCTATGGCATTTATTTCGGCAACGATGATGTTTTTGAGTTCTTGGAGGGTGGCTGGTTTAATGACGTAGACTTTGCTTTTCAAATATCCCCATAAAAAGAAGTCCAAGCGAGTCAAATCGCACGATCTTGGTGGCCATGGCACATTTTCTCTGCGCGAAATCACGCGATCACCGAAGAAGGACTGCAATCGATGGATATTGACGTTGGTTGTGTGGCATGTTACACCGTCTTGCTGGAAATAAACATCGTCCATATCCATTCCTTCAAGTTGCGGCAAAAAATAGTCCTCTATCGTCACGTGATATCGCTCGGAATTGACGTTAACGGTGTCCCCGGCCGCATTTTCGAAAAAGTAAGGTCCGATGATGCCTTTTGACCACAATGCACACCACACAGTCACTTTTTGAGGATGCATCGGCTGCTCTTGATTCGGGGATTTTCGTTCGCCCAGATGCGGCAGTTTTGCTTGTTTACCGTCCCATTCAAAGTGAAATGCGCTTCGTCGCTGAACATGATTTTTGATGAAAAATTGGCATCAATTTAGCGGTGTTCAAGGAGCCAATCTGAGAACGTTCGGCGCGAAAAATGGTCGGTCCGACGCAGCTCTTGCGTCAATTGGATCTTGTAGGCGTGTACATTCAAATGCCTTGTGGAGAATGCGGAGCAAACTGGTTCTCGAAATGCCCAATTCTTGGGATGGACGCGTTGTTGATTGTTTCAGATCGTCTCTCACACTCTCCTTCACAACAGCAATATTTTCCGGTGTGCGATCGCTCCATGGCGGGCCAGAGCCTGGCAGATTTGCCAAAGAACCTGTTGCCTCGAATTTACGCACCAGACGACCGATGGTTGTTTCGTTTGGGCGGTTGTTGCGACCGAAATGTTCACGAAGCGCGCGAAACGTGTTTTTTATTTTTGCACCATTTTTGTAGTGCTCTTGAACAACTTTAATGCGGTCTTCAATCGAATACGACTCCATAGCGATCAATGGTAAATATTCAACTAACAAAATGACATGTCGGTGACAGAAAACAAAGATGTCGTCTATGTCAAATTGACGTTTACTTTCCTGCGTCCCTATTGGTCAACCCTTTATAACACCTGCAGACAACACCAAAAATTTTCTAATAATCCAAAGACAACATAAACGATGCCGTGAGTATATTGATTATACATAACCATCCGCCGTTTTAGACAAAAATATATTCCTCTATTGAAAATTAAATAATTATGTTTCAGTTCCACATTATAGATATAAAATAATAAACATTAGTGTAATTGAGTCTAAATATAGGATTTGTGGAAGATTTAATGCAGATAAGTTTAGTTTTTCATCATTTGAATCAAATACAAAGCCCGTAGAAACTCCTTTGCACGATAATCACAATAAAATTTGTTGCGCAAGTAATTCAATATCCTTATATCACAGTTTAGAAGTTTATCATATATGTACCTGTGTATGGAATCCACAATGGCCGATATGTAAGTAAACAAGTTGACTGTAATGTGTTATATATTCTTCACTTCGCCTATACAATACATAAGAAATAGTTTGGTTGCAATAAAGTAGAATCGTGTAACAGAATAGTTGAATAGTTGACAAAAACTGAATCTTGCACTGACGCAAATGTTCTATAGCGACTGCAAGAGGTTTACACTTGTATGCCCATTACGCTTGTATAGCTGTTCTAAGAGCGTTTTACCAATGTACTTACAGCATATAATGCTGTCTAAGGAATACTGTATAATCGTTCTTGCAACTCTAATATTAGTGATAATTGTTAGTTGGAAGACATTCTTTTACAAAACTATCCTAAACAAATAAGCGATTTCAATTAAAAAAAAATTTTTTTTGGGGTTTTCAGAACATAATTTTCATTGTCTTTTTTTAATTGCCATGTGTTATTGCAATTCTGAATATCGAACAAAAAGTAAATTTCCTTTAGGGAAACCGTGACAAATTCTTTGGCAAGAAATACAGGAAAAATAATGATTATCTGCCTGCATGTATAATTTTTACAGAAAACTTGAGATAACTCAATGACTTATGCATATTATTATGATATACACAAAATGTACCTAAAAATTGAATAACATAAAGTTCTATTTAAAATAAGCGTGTTGGCATCTACTCCCGGTGTAACCAGAAGTGCCACCATTTTGAAAATATTCTTCCTGAATTGCTCAAATCAGTTTTACTAAAACTCCACGTTTTTGTTATTATATCCTTTGTAAAAGACGAAATATCTAGATCTCTGAAGCTGCAGAATAATTAGCAAATATCATGGGTATGTATGTGTACTTATGTAGAAGCCTCATATTGTGGAGTCTGGCGGTGACAAAGATCGGTACTTTTCAATACCTGTAATTCCCGTGACCTTATATGCACCCGGTAGTTTCTACTCGGTATTTGTTTAGTGTCTATAGACGACAATACAAGATAAGTCGCGTTGTTGCCTCTCTGACAAGTGCAAAATGAGAAACCCTGGTACAAATAGCTATATTTACATCTTATGACAAGCACGTTTTTTCTTATTTTTCACCAAATAATAATCTTTCATACAGAGTGTGGCAGCATAACTTCCTTATCGCCATCAGTCGGTTGATGTCGTAGCGGAGTGATAGTGGTCTCGTTCGAGAGGCGGGACTGTAAAGTCTTGTTCCGACATAGTTCAGTCGCCATCATGCGTTGAAAAGGTAAGGAGCGTGCTTTTGCCGTCGAGGTCTATTTTTTGAACAGATGTTCTGTGATCGCAACCCAGCGCGCCTTTTGGAATCGCTTTAATTTAGCCCCGTTGGCCACCGCCTCGGACCGGAAATCAACAGTTATGTGGGTCACTACATTCAGACAAACTGCAAGTGCGACAAGACAAAGAACTGGAGTCCGTCGGCCCATTAGATCATCTGAAAGCATTGAGGCACTGATAGCCTCAATGTTGCGATCATCACGGTGTTCTGCGCGCAAACACGAGTCTATCCTTGGACTTCCCGATCGTTCTGTGTGGAGAATTCTTCATGACCTTTATTTCCATTCTTACAAGATCGCAATTGTGTAGGAAATTTTTGAACCTGACTTCAATTGTCGGATGAACGCGTGTGCTCGTCTTCTCGAAGTCGTTTCTGAGGTCGCTTTTGTTTTCTTAATGATGAAGCTCACTTTCATTTATGTGAATCAGTCAACAGACAAAACATGCGCTACTGGGCTGCAATCCTCGAGAATTGTATCGAAGAGCTTTGTGTTCACCTAAAGTCACAGTGTGGTGTACAATTTCCTCAGCTGGAATTATTGGTCCCTGGTCTAGCAGTTATTATCAATAGGTAGTCAAATCACCTATCAGAATTTCATTTAGATTTAATATCAATCATGTTGATTCGATGCACCGATGAAAGTTACGGAAGGTAAAAGTATCAGGCAGATTCAATGCTTAGTACAGATAGTAGGGTAGTTTGTACCAGGTAGTAGTTACAGGCGGACGACTAAATTTCTAGCACTTTATAGATTATGGGCATGAGATGGAATTACACGCAATCTCATGCAATTACTGAGTAGTGCGTTTTCTATCTGAATATACACAGTTGATAAGATCTAATTGTTTACATACCGTAATTGCTTCTATTTCATTTGACTGAACCTCACTGGAAGGCCAAGTGATACTGAAAATGAGCGAAAATAACATCAGAATTCTAGCTTCTGATAACTTGACATCTATGGAAGGCAACTGCCCCTTCACTTTTCCATGGGGTAACTTAGGATCGTCAGAAATCACACATTTGGAGTACGTGAAAGATATTGACAATGGATTCAGCAGATGCATGTCAGTTGACATGGAATTTTTGATCGCTGCATCCCAATTTTCGTCGCTCTGAAATAAAAATAGTAGTGAATATTAGAAAGTAGTGATATTCCATAAACTGTTACTGTAAGCATCTAGTTATGCACACGACTTGAGTCCCGCGACAGTATTAGTCAACAATGCTTGATATATGGCTGTCTCCTGACTTTATTGGCAAGTATTGATAAGTGACACTGATTCCTGATCTTGTACATCAGGATATTGTCAGTACACTGCATAACTGTGATTTTTTGTAAATTCGGAGATGGGTGTGATCGCCTTGGTTAACCAAACATTTTACTGTGTCATTGAAGAACGATGTCAAAGCTATATCGCACATAGAAACAATAATGGGCAAAAACCGTAAAAAGAAGGAAAGTTGATTTGAACATAAAATAGGATACGTAATCCAAGAAATACGTATTTCTGCTTGTTGGCTTCATCAGGCCCGAAATGAATGCACATATGCAACTACAAAAGCAGACACACATGAACATACATCCGGAGACGGGTGTAACCTGACGAAACGAAGACGGAAAGAGAACATAACGACACACGAAGTCACCAACAATATCCAACCTACACATTGTAGTATAATGGCCAGAAGAATTCCAAGGCTACATCTAACCACAACCACGCGGTCGGCTATAGCCACTTCCCGTGGTACTTCAAGCCCAAAATGATCTACAAAAAGAACTGATGTGCTCAAAAACCAAAATGCATTGGCGAAGATTTGTTTGTCAGTTAAATACAATTGTGAACGTTCATACAGCTAAAACTTCCCTCGAAGCATGGATTAACCTGAATAAAGCCTATGAAGCTTCTTGTAGTTCTAGGCTACAAAGTTTGGGCTTGCTAGATTATTTGAACGAAATCCTCACTACTATTTATCTCGCGGATATAGATGAGAAGGCAGGATAAATGGATATCTTTTATGAGAAATGGCGTATCTGATGACTATGAAAGCTTTATTGCTAATCTAAATCACCAATTGAAAGAAGATACTATTTCCGAAGATAGAAAGTCGCTTTACTAGGTGAAAGTGAATGAAGGGGAGTAAAAGAGGGAGATTGAGTGTCAAAAACTGAACTTTTATTGAAACAAATACATAACTTCAACTGTTACTAATGTGGTGAAACAGGAAAGCAAGTGAAAACAAAAGACATACTGCGAAGAATACGATATTGTTAACAAGATCTCTTGATAATACTTTTTCCATCATCATGGCTAATCAACTCCAGTGAAACATCACATCATGTTTGGTATGAATTCTGATGTAAATTCACTGGTTTTTGTAGCTGACAATACCGAGATTAAAGGAGTTGGTAAGGTGTTATTGAAGTTTACCTTTGGATTTTCAGAAAATAGATTTCTTGTATGTAGCCATTGTTTCTGCTAATGTCGTTTTTAATACAAAAATTCCAGATTTTTAATACTTAATAATGATGGATTTTCAGTTAAAGGAAATGTGGAATTCATAGACTATATTCAATTAATGGTTGATTACAAGAGCCCCACTGGCAATGTGAATAGTATTTTTCACGGGTATCTATTATGGTAGAATGACAGCTGATTTCTAGTATATTCCAAAATTACTCACATCGGAAAAGGACATATAATTCTGTCGGATCCGTCAATGCCAGGTAGACAGAACCATATTTTGTTTTGGTTTTTTGTACGCTACAGATTCATTTTTTACTTGCTAAAAGCGGTTTTATTTAGAAAAGTACATTTGCATTCAGAAAACAAAACGCAACAAACAAGTTTTACTAGATTTACACCCGATTCATTATTGCCAACATTGCATGAGAAGGAAAACAAACCGTTAACATAATAACATCTTGGAGTGGAGCAAGATATTGCTTGATTTTCAGGGATGACTATGACAGGAAAACTTTTGCCTACATAATGTACAAAACATCTGAGGCGTTTTCAAGGACTCTAAATACCCAGTTTGATACCTCTAACAAAAAGATATAACATCAGAAAACAGCACCGTAGGTATTCATACCTGAGCCATTAATATTTGCAGATTCTTAAATTCAAGCTTAAAGTCATAGGCATGCTTCACCAAGTGCTCCATAATTTCTGTCTGTGTTTTTCCTTCTTCATGTAATCGCTTCAGATCTGCTGTTGAAGATCTTTTCCCAAAAGAGAATATTTTCAGGTGACCTATAATAATCGTAGTTTAATACAGAAAGTTGCATCAAGATATTAACACTAATGCATTCATTCAATTAAAGCAAAAATTATTCTCTATTGCCTCGAACAACATACAAATAGCAATATTACCTAAGTTAGCGACCAAGACATTTTCAGATCCAGTATATTTTCCTCCGTAAGGAATAATTATATAAGGCGCTTGTATATCAATGTTAACATTAAGGCAGATTTGTTTGTCAATAGCATGTGCGAGACCAGTAGTTGTCATCTCCTTCATTTTATTCAATCTGTTTTCAGCAGCTATTTGGATTCTGCAAAAGAAATAAATTGTATTCTGTACCTTTTTTTGACTCATAACATTAAAATAATCTGGTATATATTTAAATAATAAGTAATAAGAATGTCTCTATTGTTACTTAAATACAAAAGTCAGTCTACCCCAGAAATGCATATAGTCTCATACAATTATCGGACATAGAGCAATTATTGATAGATAAATATGCTTTATTGTCTGAAGAATACAATCATTCTTAATGGCAACGATAACTTAAAACCAAACTATAATATAATAACGTACATGGACCTTAAGTAGGTGAATAGATTACACAATGTATAATATGGTTTACCTATTAAAAAGTGTTTAAGTTCATGGCGGGATATCTTTAAATTGTTATATCCTTTGATAGCATCATGGAGACTCATGTAAATTTTCAGACCATTATATATTATTGAGTCTTCCACAAGTGTTGTTTTAGTTACTACTAATTTAAGACCTTGATTTCGTCTAATATTGTCACTTATATTTAATGTTTTAAATTTATTTAGATTTATTTTAGTATTTTCCAATAAAAGCGTGCCTCCAACTCTAGGACTGCTTTTAGTTATATATTTAATAGTTTGTTTTTGTAGAATAAGCAGACAAAAAGGGACTATATCTCAATCTAATAATTTATGATCAATGGTCAGTCCCAAACATTTGATGGTGTCTGTTTTGTGTATCAATGCATTATTTAAATTTATAAAATCAAGGGAGCTTTTAAATGTCATAAATTTAGTCTTATTAATTGAAAGTCAAGTAATTGTTGTCACACCATTTTTTGATCGAATGTATATCACTATCAATTTTTGTCTTAATTTCATTTATATCTTTGTCTTGCTAAAGTATTGTGGTATCGTCAGCAAAAACTACGAATTATATGCTTAAGTTTAATAAATGGTTGATATTGACAAAGGATAGAATCGAATCTAATACTGATCCTTGAGGTACCCCTGTGCTTATATTTATTTGAAATAATTTTACACTTCGATTACTTAAATATGTTTTAAACCAACTGACTGAAGTTCCAGTACAACCATATTTGTTCAATTTTTATAATAGAATATCATGATTTGCACATTCAAAAGCCTTCGAAAAATCACAAAAAGCTATTTAAATTGAGTATAGTATAACTGTTGGAGTAATGTGAAAATAGCATCCATGGTATTTTTTGTTTTTGAAATTCAAATTGGTTGTTATAATTTTGTTGATTTTTAGAAAGTCTCTTAATCTATTTTGGACTATTTTTCTATTATCTAACAATAATTAAACTTATGGGTCTATAATTTTCTGGTAAATCACTTAGGCCTTCTTTATAAATAGGAATAACTACTGTTGTTTCTAAAAATTCAGGGTAAACACCTGTGTTACGAGAAATATTTATAAGTTTTGAGAGGGTATCAAAAGCATCAAGTGAAATATTAGCTATAACATTTAAAGAAATTTCATCAATGACTGGGGATTTTTTACTTTTGATAGATCTTACCGAAATTATGTACGTTGGGATATAGGAATACATCCCTCATACAGCGTAAGTGACTAAATTAGAGCCCAACGGCTGGTTCAACAATTCGTGCGATAGTGTTCGTCACCAGAAGATCAAGGCAAACAAAACCTTCTCATAAAATCCCATTGTAAACAAATATAACGAAGCGGTCTGCAATTCCAAATACCAGCACAATATAAAAGTTAGGCATACGGTAATGTCGCAGCGCAATGGCAGTCGGTCTTTCTGGACGCTGACCAAGCAGATTGAAAGGAACTTCACACCACATATGTACGTGTCAGGATGGAACGACTCAAAGGCTAATGCGGAAGAGCTTGCCAAGATGTTTGCTCCAAACTCTACCAGAAACATCCCTCAAAGCCCGAATGCCGCCGATTCAAGGGGTTCCCTACACTATGCGGGAAGTAGCTTCCAGACATAAGACCATAAGACGGGTGCTATTGTCGCTCGACATGCAACAAAGCTTTTGGTCCGGAGTTGATCCCTGCCGTTGTATTGAAGAGGTGTGCAGTGGAGCTTGCTTCAGTTCTTTCGAGTCTCTTTCTGATATCTGATGAATCCATCTGTGGCATGCTGTCCATCTACGCAAACCTCCATCCTATGGCCTGCCAGAGAAGCTTTGCTTTGCTCTCACGTTTGGGTGCACACCCGAGGAGGGCTGTTCGACTAATCGAGGACTCTTTTATAACGGACGGTCTCGGGTCTACCGCTACACCAACGGGCTTTGCTCCTCAGAGCTTTCCTCCATGATGCCGCCGCGTAATGTGCCTATCAGACAGCCCGCCTGAATTCGGCCTCCCATCCTAACCGTGTCGAACTTGCCGATACGACCGCTCCTTTGTCCCTAGGGTCTCGAGATTGTGGAACAATCTGCAAGCGGAGGCTTTTCCCAGGTCTACTAATCTCAGGCAATTCTGAAATCGGATTAATAAAGTTTCATTGGGATCCTCATAACAGCCGTGCATGGTTTCCTGGCATAAATGCCAGCCTGAGCGGCTGCTTCAGCGTAAAAATATCGCAATAGTATTTGCAATAAATGTCAGTACGATAAAGTTGAAATTTTGATTAATTAATTTCATTCCTCACATTAAGAGTTAATTTTAATATACTCCTAATATTTTTTTTTTGTTAGTTGTATATAAATTAAAGTATCTTTGATTTGTATCCATTTGATACGGGGTTTTCATAAAATAAAAGGGATTTTGCAAGTGATCCGTTATTATTAGTGGATAGCACGCCAAACAGCAGGTAAGTACAATGGCGTTATTAGTAAGTTCAATTACTGATCTAGTGACGTATCAGACGGCAGTTTGAATATCTCCACGACTTTGTTGATAGTCTCTGCATCGTAGGTAATTTTCAATGGCTGAGTGGAAACGTCGATTCTTTGATCACAACTCTCATCTATGGGATTCATTTCAAAACTACATCCAATAGTCCTTTTTGTCCTGTTGATTTCGTTATTAGTTTGGGTATGAAATCACCTGGCTGCTTCATGCCAATTGTTTCCAAATCATCTATCTGAGCGAGTACTCTGGAAACAAGATACTGCGATTATAAACTGTTGTATAACTCAGTTCTAAGACGGAAAATTTCATCCAGTGAGATCGTTATGCAAACTGTACATTGCATAGTCTTAACTAACAAGGCAAGGTCTTTGTGCAATGATAAGTAGATTAAGTGTGTTTACCTGATACATGAATACAGTCAAAATGGCCAATCGATTGTGAGATAAAATAGGTTAAAATGTACCTGCTATATGTTGGTAATGAAATGATCTAGGAAGGCGTACTTGACGGGTACGTGGTTTGCAGTTGTGTCTAGAAACGTTTTCTAAGAAGGAAAATGTCTTCCAAGCATGCAACTTTGAGCCTTTCAGTAATAAATTGAAGGCATGCGCGTCCTGTACAATTTGGCACATTTTATCTCGTAAACGATTGACCATTTTCAAGAAGTTCCATGTACCAAATAAATACATTTACTGCCACCTATAATTACGCAAGGTCATTTTTTTAAGCTGTGACCTCGCCTTGTAAGATAATGATGTTACTCTAGTATAAAGTGACCTTACTTCAGTCCAGAGTTGTATGGTCTCATCTCTACTTTGCATCTGACAGTGTTCAACGTAGTGAAAAGCACCCTATTCACTGCTGTTTCTTCATCTTTCATTTCGACTTCAAACGATTTCAGCACAAATGCGCAAGAAATACTGATGTATGTTTCAGGATAATTTACAATTTGTTTTCCGTCTTCGGTGACACCAACCGCTTTGTATAGCTTTTGTTTTTCTTCTGGAGTCATTGCGTCCTCGATTTCCTTCACTGAAAGAACACACAAAGATAAATATTTGCGTTTTACTTTTTCTAAAGTAGCATAGTTGGACAGGATATTTGCGTCATATGTTACTTTTCATTATTGTTGAAAAATTAATTAAGCTCAAACTATCGGTAAATTAAATCTGTTTTTCATGCAAAACATTTTTTTATGTCAACAAAGTACAAAATATGTATTGTCTATATCTATATTTAACAATAGTTTATCAGAGATGTCTAAATTTTTAGGGACAATAGGATCTGTCACTGACAAATATACCAGTTTTTCAAGTACTTTTTAAGCTTAATATAATATTTGAGTTCTGAAATTGAAATTTCGGATTATCTTCACAGTTTATTATTAATAATAATAATAACGGAGAAAGTCCAAAAACTGCTACAGACTTACATTGTTTCAACAGGATTAGTGGTAAATAAACTAAAGAATTATATTAATATTTTTCGTCGCTTATTATTGAAAATTACAATCAAGTATTAACTATTCACATGCCACATGTTTTGAATTTTTATTGTTTTGATATTTTCAAAGTACATAGGGAAAAGCGAACACCTCAGAAAAACGAATTGACCTTTTAACATCCAAACTATGAATTGATCATCATTAAAAAGTGAGAGTAGAAGACTTTAGTTTAAGCTTTCTTCCAATAATGGGCAATCGGTTATAGGAAAAGTCTAGTCGCCTACTTCACTACCAGGCATGAAAATGTTTTTTTTCAACAACAAAACTGCTGAACGTGTATTAGGTGGTAATATTTTACAAGGAAGGAAAAATGGGCTTTTAATATGACTGATTCAATTGCTTTTTCGTATTACTTACCAAGAGATGTATTTTTCCCACCATGTGTTGAATCGCTTCCAGAACTTACCCACCATCTACTAAAGAAAGATTGTTTTACTACCGCCTCTTCCGCCATTTTTTTCAATTCTACCTCCACTTGTTTTCTTGTTACAACTATATTTATAACATTCATCTTCTTTTCGCAATCTTCCAATGTTTTCTTCTCTTCTGGCTTCATCTACAAAACAATATATTTCAAATAAAGGCAATCAATGGCACTTCTAAACGAGCAATACTTCTCGTGTATTATCTAGCTGTATAGAGTAGCTAGCAAAAATTGTGACTATTAGTTACTAAAGTTTTAGTCGAATAATGGTCTTCTGTAAAACCAGCTGAGAATGGCACATTCATGAAACGTAATTTCCAAAATTCATGTTATTTTTGCAAATTGTTGGTTTTTTATTTAAAATTAAAGTATCTATTGAGACAGCTTTTACATAAAAACTATATGGTTACTTCTCAAACATATGATGATGGGGTGATGAAAAAAAAACAAGAAAAATAGTCAGACAGAATAACCTTATTATCCATGGAAACAGCGCAGTTATAGGCGTTATTTCCTTTTTTAACTACAAAAACAACAACTAAGATTAAACTAATGGCTCAGTTCCAAAACAAACTTGAAATGAACAGCACTAATATTACTCACGTTTTTCTCCGTCTTGCTTTTTTGGTACAATTCCTTGTATTTTTCTACACATATTCCTGTATTTTAGAATATTTTCCCAATTCCATTCTCGACGTTTCTTCCGAACATGCTCTTCCAAGATAGATGTGTAAGCAAAAACGCCACCATTGTGCATAATGTCCTGAATGATCAAAATATAAGAATTATAACCGTGGTATGTTCGCATTATAAAATATAATTTATTTAAAAATTGACTTATTACTCTTTTGTATTACTATAATCCAAAGAACCCATTTTTGAAAATAAGTAGCGTTCATATAATCGGAATTAGCTTTTCTTTGAAAACCAATTATCTTAACAGATATTTTTCATTCATTTTTTACTTCCAATGCTTCGGCACTCTCTCTGGTACATAACTTGGGAAACTTATGCTGTTGCCATGTATAATTTTTCTTATCTAGGGCGACTGTCACAGAGAAATTGAATAGTACTTAAATAACTGGTTTTTATTCATATGTCATACCATGGTAACTGGTTACATTAGGCCTATACTTCCTATAAGGCTCGCCTTTGGCCATCCTGCCCATTGAGTCTGTTAATGCTATCAGATCCCGATACTGATTCTTTGTGATGCCAAGATACAATTTGCTGATCTCTACGTTCAGATGGAGCTTAGGGTAACTAAACTTTGGTTCATCGCGCTCTGGGTTTAAATTCACTCGCATTCTTGCTGATAGATTCATAGGGCCCAAAACTGTATAGAAAAAGAGGAACCTGTGAAGAGTAATTGCTTTCAGCAAATACTTTAAATTTGTTATTTTGTAATTTCCACTGTACTTTCATACAGAAATGTCACTGGCAGCTTTGTATTGTATAACATTTCTAGCAAGTACATAGGTCCAATGACATTTAGCGCATATGGAATAAGATACATGCAGCAACAAGATTTCGTCAACTAAGGTAGGGTATTTTTCACGAGTGTCCATTATAGTAGAAAGACAGCTGATTATCTAGTAATATCTCAAATTTCTCCATATCGACATAATTCTGACCAATTCGTCAATGCCAGGTAGTCAGAGCTATATTTTGTTTTGTTTTTTGTACGCGACAGATTCATTTTGTATTTGCTAAAAGCTTCTTTATTTAGAAAACTTCATGTGCATACAAAAACAAAACGCTACAAACACGTTTACTAGATTTACACATAATTCGTTATTGCCAAAGTCGCAGACTAACACAAAAATGTCACTTGCTGATCAGCTGTTCACCTCAGTAGATGTTAAAGCATGATGGATACTCGTGAAATAGGGTATAGGTGCAAACTTTCAGGTTATCATGTTTTATTCCAAGGTTAATCCCTTATTTAGTTGGGCTATGATACTTACTGTATCTGTAGTTGTCAGGCTTCGAGTTTGTTTAGCAATTTTACTCAGATGCTTATGCATTTCAGCCATTGGCAAATGGCTATATGTCTCAGAGTGGCTATTCCAGTACATAGCTAAGCTATCCAATTGTGTAGTCTAGAAACAATATGTAGAATGTATAAAATACTTTTCAAATATCATACATGTTACCTTATAAAATCTAGAGACAGGTTCTTTAAGATCCTTTGAATCGATGAAACAAACTTTCCAATTCTGATCGGTACTTTCCACTAGCAAATTGCCCAGAGTAAAGCCAAAAGAGAACGGGGAAGATGGGCTGGTAACTTTGTCCTTCATATCGAATATGGACATTCTTGATAGTCAACTGTATGTTTCTTATCATTGCAAACAAAAACCGTTGCGCAAGATTAGGGTCTTGCTGAGGCTGGTCTGGAATTAAAACAAAACGAAATGCTGAGTACTATGCACTTATATGAATCCAATTTGGTTTGGGCATATATACATATTACAAATACGGTGGGGGGGCTCTATACGTTCATCTCTTTTGTATGGCCCCCTGGTTTGGTGGCCTTGCATTGGAACCGAGACAACTAGGGCCAAACTCAATAAATTCAGCGTTTGGCTTGTACCAGTATTACAACCGCAGTGCGGACAATACCATTGAGTGCATTGGAAGCTGTGTTGGATCTCCCAACGTTGGATCTAGTGATCCGCGAAGAGGCGAGAGTTGTCGCACACAATCAATTGCAAAGGGAGGATCCTGTCCTTCTGAGTAGGGGTGATCTGATCACCCCAGAATATCGCTTCAACTGCAAGTTTAATGTGGAGTATCCGGCGAGCTCGTAGTGGGACTCCGGAAGCCGGATGGTCTCCGAATGAAGTGGGTAGATCTGGAACACAACGGCTCGGTTACTGAAGAGGGCTCTGCCTCTCGGCGGGTACAATCACTATTTTCCAGGCGAAAATCTACGCGATTCAGGCTTGCGTGTCTCGCATTTTGGAAGGGGAAGGGCTTAGCAGAAGAATAAAATCTTCTCCGACAGCCAGGCTGCGAATGAAGGCACTAAGCGAGGCATCCGGTATCGTTAGTGTGGATAAAAGGCAATGATATGGCTCTTGCGAAAGCAGGATCAGCGAGCAAGAGCCAGCCCTAGGAGTGCCCGCGCAAAGAGTCAGGAGGAAATGGACATGTTTATTGCTAGACAACACTCTTAGAAATCGAAAAAGCTTCTCTAGACATCTCCGTCAGGCACGGGAGCTCATTGTAGGGCCCAGTACTGAGGATGGGCGCTTTTGCTTATCTTTGTATAGAGCCAACCTTAGGTTGTTAGTGGACTGTTGTCAGGCCATAACACAATGAGGTGCCACATGCATGTGATGGGGGTGGCTAAGGATCGCATGTGTAAGCGCTGCGGGTAGAAGAAGAGCCCTCGGCGCATGTTCTGTATCGCTGTGAGGCTCTGCTCTACTACAGGCAGACTACACTGGAGTCCAACACTTCGACGCCAGAATGTTACGTAGCTGGGACTCAGGGCTATACTCAACTTTGCTACAAGGGCGGAGCTTGAGGCTTAGAAACGTAGGGGTGCATAAGGGCCCGTTTATGTGGCCTATGCACCGGCCAGTATGCCTCTAATTTCGTTATTAATACATTCAACAAAATTAAAGAGCGCACATCTTACGATTCAAGTACAAGGTCATTTTACACTAAGATACCGCGATATATACCATTTTGTTGAACAAAAAATTTGCAGACTTGAGCGTCTAGTCAATCTGTTTACTTAATTCGTATGATATTGTGACATAGCCGCTAAAAAATCCTGAAAAGGTGTTGGTTGAGTGCAAAATAGTAAGATAAAATATCAAATGTACATGTGAAACGGTGTATTTCCCAAATGTTTTTCCATGGATAATCAATATTTTACCGGGTCTTTTTGGGAAAAAAGCAAATTATGTTCATGTTTTTCAATGAACGAAAACAGAGAAAAACTACTCATCCAAAACTCGAACATACATTTTTGCGACAAAACTCTGATGATAATAAGTTTTTCGCGCTGTTTTCGGAGTGCAACCTTACCCTTGTCATTGAGTTTAGACTTTGAGCACAGATACGTAATACAAGTTAGAAGCGTTTGACATGAAATAAATATTCCCACTCTATCTACATACATAATAATAAAAAATCATTTGGATAATTCCTCCAATGGCCAACATCGAGGGTTTAGATAACGTTTGGAATGTACGGATTTCATGTACAACAATCTATTTTATTTACTAAACATGCAAGTTTGCCGAGGTAGAAAGCACAATTATGGATAGTTTGGCGCTACAAGACTTTCTACACCGATTAAATTATTAGACAGAAATAGAAAAATACCTTTTTCTTCCTCCATTTTCTCAGCTTCTTCAATCTTCCTTAATTCAGCCTGCTTTACCTGTAGCATCAATTTTTCTGCTTTAACAGGGTCGTATGCCACCTGTTGATTGGGTGCAACCACCAGATACACATTCTCTATCAGCACTGTAGTTGGTGATGTATAAATTGAATGCCATGGTATTTTCAATGCAAGTTTCCCTTTAACATCAGATAATATGTATTACAATTACGAGCATAACTGATTATAATAATTATTATTGGGCTACTGGTCCTGCAATCAAATAGAATCTGGTCTTATAGTATTCCTTGTTTGAGTCTGTATATGAGAACATTGAGTTTATGAAAAGAGAATTCTGAAGTTCAAGAATCACCCATACCAGCACTGAATATTCCAAGCAGGAGCGCCAGTTTCTACTGCATTGTCGAAAGATAATTTGGTCTGGTTCAGAAACATGGGCTCTAGTTAGAAAAAGAATACCGAATAATTTGGATTCGTCTCAATTGGAGCTTAGAGTATAACTTTATGGTATGAGCATAAACATTCAGGCACAGTGTGGCGCAACGATGAAAAGGAAACCAGAGCGGCATTTATCATTTTCATACCGCAAAAGTTAACACGTCGCTTCACAGCGCTCCAGTACACATACTCTTATTTGCTTATGTATAAAGGAAACCCAGAGATTTTCGATTCCCTTCCCTCCCTTGACCACTAGTTAAAATATCTTATCATAAGCATGTGCGACGCAGATGGTGCTTATTCATGAATTAAAGTATGTTCTGCTTTATTAATTTTTTAACTCAAACTTGTCTCCTGTCCACGATCATCAACTTTATTTTTTCTTATAGACGCCATATTGGATTTTTATACATTTAAGTAGAATTTTTTATTCCGATTCCAAAATGTATCATATTTATGTCAAACTGATATTTCCAAACTTAGTTATTTCAAAAATTAGGAATCGTTAAGTATTGCGTTACGTTATTTTTGACAGCGACAGCAAATAAATAATCTCGACGACAAAAGAGCTTTTATGACCACAAAAGTGGACCGACGTAATTTGACAATATTCACTACTGACAGATTGCTTATTTTTTTCGATGTTCATGTAACTAATCCCAAAAATTAAAAACCTTGTTAATTTTTTTACATAGTAAAGCTTCGGTAATATTTGTGTCAAATCGGACGGAGGTTCAGAATCATAGAACCACAGAAGGACAAGTGACCGCAAAACTAGCAGAACTACAATAAAGGCTACCTTGCCATATTGCATATACTGGGAAAACGAATTTTTTTTGACGGCTTGAGTTCAATGTATACGAGAGAGAAGCGCGAGAAGTGTATATCTACACATGTTAGAAAGAGATAGAAGTGGAGTGAAGAGTGAAGGCCATCACCAAAGTGCCTAGCAACGATGACGCAGAAGGTCGTGCATTCTGCCGCGTTGCCAATGTGTTACACCAGAAAATATTCACACAGGCTGCTACAATAGGTTAGGTTACCGCCAAACCCAAGAAGGAACATTTAATTTAATATTTCGTCTTCATTTTGATTAGAATTATTCATTTCAATTTTGATGCGACTTAGTGTTTTAGTTTATTATTGAATTATCTTTTATTTCCATCGATAGTGATCAAATCAACACAACATGAGTTATTGTTACACTTTACGACAGCGCTGCGGTTGGAAAATGTAACAAATACCGTTACGCAATACAAATTATCACTGTCTGCGTTTATGCAGCTGAATGTCACACTTCCCTACGAGGGCTAGATGAGTACCAACCAAAATCGTTCAAGTATGTTCATGGAGGTGGAAACCTTGGTCTGGAATGTTCAAGAAGTGGTGTTAATAAACGGACCAATGATTGCAATGGTGCATATTTTGTGGTAATCCTGACATTTCATTGTGTTCTAAAATGGAGCGCCGTTGGGACCGATCGGGAATCAATCCTAAACAGATTCAATATAATTCACAATTTTCATTATGCATCTTAATACAAGGAACTGGTGTAACATATTGACAACGCGGCAGAATACCGCGTCCGCGTTGCTAGGCAACGCGGTGATGAGCGTCGCTATCCAGGCGGCTTCTATATCTTTATAACATGTGTCTATAAATACTTTTTACATACTTCTCTTTCGCACACATTGAGCTAAAGCCGTCAGACAAAGTTGGTTCTCAGTGTATAACAAAGATCAGGACAATTCAATTTATTTAGAACTGTATATTTCTTGCATTTATTCTTATCTGTGATCTAAAGCTCATATTTCTATTATAAACAATGTGTTTTTATAACCTGAAACTATTTAATTAGGCTTATGTAGCATTACAAATTCCTGCAACAGCTCTGGATAAGGAAAATGTAACCTTATGAAATAAGCTTATTCTAAATCGAAATAAGGAAGATCATAACGAGACAGCTAGACGAGTACTAAAACTCTTTATCAGAGAAATGTTCCTTCATTTTTATGAACTAAGCTGAGGTGTACACTGTACAGTCTCTATTTCAGATATTAATAATGACAATAAACTTCAAATGTTAAAAGGTATTCTTCCTATAGTTGGTCAGTAGGTCTTGGCTCATCGAATAAAGAACAATTCATTGCTAAAACTTGTTTACATTTTATTTAAGGGTAGTATTGAAAACATTACACCCAACATTACTTTATGTAACTGATAGAAACATTTTAGGGTAAATGGAAGTTTCCACTATGTTGCGCTTCCTAAACACATTTCATATCCACCATGTCTAAGCAGATGCTCACACTTGCATTCAAGTACTATTAATCTAGCTCTGCGGTTATCGTATAGAGCGCCTCCATCGTGCTGAGATAACGCTTGTTATAGTAGATAAATGGTCCAATTATCAGAATATCCTTTGAACGCGCTTCTCATAAACTGAAACATTTTAAGGCCATCCATGAGAATATTAGTTTTTTTGAAAACATATAGGTTTGACAATGACAATGAAGGACATATTATACATTTTTGAAATCTTTGAATATGGCGTCCATAATAAAAAATAAAGTTGATAATTGAGGACAAGAGACGAAAAGTAATATGGAAATTCTAATTATGCCACCTTGTAGAGGGCACAAAGTGGCAATATTGATGTATTTTTTATTTTGAAATACCATCTCAATTAAAGCAAAAAAAAATAAAACGATTCTGGGAAAATTCAGTTCTGTTATTTAACTCCTTTTTTATTTACCTAAATGCGCAAATATGCACTCATTTAGCCGACTTCGTATCTTTTACCGTTTTCGAGATCACAATGGTGATAGTCGAATTTGAAACACCCTATATGGTACAATAAAAACTGACAGCATTAGGCCCCATAATATTTGATTATTCCAAGTAAAATTGTTCAGGGAAGTCAAATATGACTTCCAAATTGTGGTATGGTGATTCGTTCGGTAGTGTTTTTTTCGAAATTTTTTACCAGTTTATTGAACTGCCAATTCGAATGTCTTACGGATCAAAATATGCAAAAAAAATTCGTAAAAAAGATGGAGCAACCTCTTCCCGTATATAAATGGAATTTTGTACTCAGGCCTATAATTGGTGGCATAGGCATCTGGATCCAAATTTCTATATTTTGGATCAAAATAAGTAATTTTCATGACTCTGGAAGGCGGGTTATGACTGATATGGTGCTCAATTTTGCTTTATGAGGAGAACTTATGGAGGCATGATCCTTAGTAAGATCTCGAATTCCTAGGTCGCCGCCAGATGGGGCATTAAGCAGCTTGGAAGATCAAAGGAACAGTGGCGTAGGTAGGATTGGATTTGCCCCTAACAGTCGTTCCTGAAAGTTGGTTAGCAGCTGGTGCTGTAGAATACTTGGTCAAGTCGGCTCTATGGAATGGAGGAGATGCGGGTACGAGTCCCACCATTTTCCTTTCTCTCAAGTTGTTGATTACCAAATCTCATTTTATCCGGGATAATTTTTTGGATGCATGAATATAGCATTATGTTAGCTATCCTCACGAAGATCATGTTAACCAATAATAATAAATACTGTCATAAATTTTCAATATTTTTCTCAGTGAGTATGTTTTAAAATATCCTTTTGTTGTTGAATCTACGGTTACATACGATACAACAATGACAATTTTTGTCACTGTTTCAATCATCAATGTTGTACTTAAATAAAATGAGAAACTTCCAGGAATCAGCAATAATGCCTATTTCAGCTAATTCTTGGAAGATAAGTTTACCCTTGTATGGCAATGATAGGCATATTCTTTCGTATTTATGGGAATATTTTTATAATGCATTCTGAAACATCAATAATGATCTAACAACTATTCCCTATGAAATCTGTGTGTTAGGAATGCCCACTCACACAAGAATATGCCACCCAGCATATCCACCAAACACAAACATTTATGAAAAGTCTAGATGCTAGTTTTATACTAATCTACTTAAAAAATATATATCAAGTACATCAGATAATCAGTAAGGCACTTCAGGCTATTTTATTAATTATAGTATGTCTCCAATGTTCCTTAATCAGTCATATTTTTAAAATCGTGTAAATGATAGGAATTAATAATTAAATTTATCTCCATACTGGATAAGATACACAAAAATAAATATGATGCTTTTAGCTGCTGTAACATCATATATAGAAATTTTATAAATAATCAAAGTTATTATGATTTAATTCAAATTTTAGTCTTGTCTATTTATGGTTCAATATTTTATTCATACAGTGTTTTTCAAAATGGTCTCCCCATCTTATTTTTTTACAAGTGAAGTTATCAAGCTGAAATTCAGTGTAATAATATTGATGAATGAATGTCCATGGATACCACATTTTAGTGTGTAAATAACAAATAAAAAATTAAAATGGTGGCTGGACGTCATGTTGGAACATTTTTTAAATAGAATGAGGGGTCATGTGAAACCTCATTTTGGAGCTCCTTGTGAGCACCTTATAACCCTAGAATATACATTGAACTTGGCAATCTGCCACTCTACCATTTTCAAAGGTAGTTAATATATATTTTATAGTTATAATGAACTGTTAGGAAGCTTCAAAGTGAGGTATCAGAACCCTCAATTCCACTGCCTGTTAACGGCCATCTTGGAATTTTCATCTGCTATTTCTATGTCAAAGTATAGATACATTGATATATATATATCAATTTAATTGGCCCAAATCTCAACTTCACAGCTTTGCATCTTCAGAACTATAAGTATGGTGGAGAGGGACTTTTTATAAAATAATTGTATAACGTTTACTTGTCACATTGTCACTGTAATCACAAATAATTTCAAATTCAATATATATCTTTTGCATGCCACATGCCATTACTATCTCAGAAAATCATTCAATTTCCATCTATTTGTCTCCCTGTTCAGTAATTATTGGTCCCTACATTACTTAAACAATATAATTTAAATTTTTATGAAGTTTTGACATTTATTACATATAGTATCCCTTTATATATCTCCGTCTCCCTCATACATACACATGCAACCTACCCTTGTGTGTGAACGGTTGTTTGGTAAGTTCAAAGACATACGTTTTTTAGTTGTGTGTGTAACGTATGAGTGCCCTTCAATCATATTTGTCAGAGTGACAACTTATTTGACATCGGTGTGCAATTTGAGTTGTCATGTTATCAATCTTCAATAGGCCGACAGATTGTGCTAAATATATTAGAGTATTTCCAGGAAGACAATGAAAACATGGGTTATGAAAATTATTTTATAATCAGTTAGGAAAATTAAGATCCGCCCCTGGTAGGGAGACTCGATCTGTTTACTTATTTCATATGGCATTGATGAAGTAACTGCCAAGAACGGTGACTACAACTATACCATTGTGGTATGTAATAAAAAAGCTTTGCAGCCTCACTTTGTTCAATGGCGACAAAATTATGATCAAGAAATAAAAAAATAGATTTTGTTTAGGGGACTAATTTAAATCACACCTATTAGACATACTTAAAAGATATCCTTTCATTTGCCTTTGATGTTCAAAGATAAGATTTTTATTACTTCCCACAATCAACAAATTTGCAATATTGCCACGTTTTGTTCAACGATTAGGTAATTAAGATTAGAAAGTGGTCCGTGCATCATATTTGAATCTGCCGTTCCTGATCGGGATTAAGTGTCAAACGATGCATATGGGCATTAGATAAATGTAATTAGCACAATTGATGTCATCAAACATATTAGACTTTTGTGAGTTTCTCTATTTAAACTTTTATCTAAATTGAACCAAACTGTCCCAAATAGTACAACAGAAAATTCTGATCAAGGGTCATGCACACAGAACTCATGAATGATATTGTGCCTTTTATAGAAATGATGTCAAGCAAATTTACTGTAAGTATCTCTCTCATGTAGTTCAATAAGGTTAAGGTGTTCTGATTAAACTAACTGTTACTCCTCCTAAGATTGAAATCTTGAATAATGTAATGGAAATTCAGATCTGAGATATTTTGATCATTAATGGAATTAGAAATTTAAGATTCATGGAATGACACAATTTATATAGGAAAAAATGTATAATCCTAATAATAATCAGAAGTACTTTATTTAGGGAGATTATTTTAGAAATATGAGACCTAACATGCATTAATTACCTATAGAACCATGTATAACTTGAACAGGTAGATTCAAGTCCTCCAAAATGGATGGTTTGATCACAACATTGGTTAGTTCAGCAGCTCCTACAAAAGAAATTAGAAAATCATAACACAACCCAAGACTTGAAAAGAGCACATATGACTTACCACTCCAGGCTAGTTTTAGTTGTGTATTATCCAAATCATCCAGGAAATATGTTGCAAATTTATCAAGAAGAAGCCTTCCTAACTTCTCCATTTCTTACAAGTGTTATAGATATAGATTTATGAGCATATATTTGGTGATGACATCATTTTATTTCAACTATACTATTCCTATTGATGTGCTCAAATGCCAATTCGCAAGGCTGACCTTATAACAAATCTGCATAGAAGAGTTCTAGACTTTTTACTTGCAGAATAAAGTTATTGTGTAGGCGTGTTTTGCGCTATGTAATTACACTATGACTAATTTTAGCACGTGCCTAATCATGATTGATTGATAAAAATTGTGTCTCACCAAGTACAATCACAAAATTTATGAAAATAGACTTCATAAAACCTTGAAAACAAAACACAATCCTAACCTCTAACCCTTGATATCACTCACTTATCACAGCTGTTCCAAGAACACGTCAGTTCACAGATGAAAAATGTGTTGGAATGAAACGTCAAGGTTTCTATGGGTAGTAAGAAAGACAAGTATCCCTATCTACCAGTTCTGACCACAAATCACAATAAACGCAGGTTGAAATGACGTCTATGATTATAAATACGAGTTCAAAGTGCTAAAAGAAATAAATGCTTCACAGCCTCGTAAGCATTATTAATCATCGCCCAGATATCGTGGGAAGAAAATGACCACGAAAACAGTTGTCACTTGAGTAGTGTACTTTATTCTGGCACTTATTTGTTCTGAGTTCCAATGCTATTGACAGCTTTTGATATCAGTGAGTGCCCACTGCCCGTGGTCTAACCCGTGTATTGTTTTGTGATCGTGTTGTTATCTAACCTTAAACCTTCAAGTTTTGACAAATAATGACGTGCAATGTTTATGCCAATAATTCAAAAATGTTTATAAAATCTATTGAAATTCATTAATATTTCTTATTAGATTGTATACGTATTAAAAATGATTAAGGCAATTTTGGTGTTTAATAATCATGGTAACCCAGGCTATCCAAATTCTATCAGCATTTTGTAAGTAAATAAATACACTTCCCTAGTATGATATAAACATTTGAGTAAAATTGCATTACTGATGATAATCTTCCATAATTTAGCCAGAAGATATGCAACAACAAATCATTAAAGAAACATTCCAATTGGTATCCAAGAGAGATGACAATGTGTGCAACTTCTTAGAAGGTGGAAGGTATGTTTAATCAAAGTTAAGGTCTCTTCCAGAAATGTATAACACAACCAAGTCAAATAAACACTATTGATATCTAGATTAACAACATTTCAGTCTAATTATAAGCAAAATCTTAGAACTGCTTATTGATAGAAATTTAAGCTGGCCATATCTAAAATTCATATAATTTTTAATACAGGCATATTAACTGCATTGTCTATTATATTTTTCAGCAGGTTATCAGGTAATTCTCTAGCTATACCAGCATTTTTTTATTCTCCTTCTGAGTAGACACTAGGTTTGGGTTGTAAATGATGGAAATGAGATAAAAAATGCCTGTAGATGGGTTAGTTACAGAATATTGTTGATATTATCTGGGTTTTAAACAGTATAATTACCTTCTTAATCACAACATTTGCAGAACGGAAGGGATCCAATACATTCCGCGTTGTTGCCTCATTGAAGAAATATAAAGAAATTAACGAAAATACATATTTCCACGCATAGCAGCTCTTCATTTAATCTAGAATTTGTTCTCCCTTGAGTCGCTAGTGCATTAGACTTTATGTAGGGTTGTGTGGAGTTCAAAGGCATACGTACAAATTTAATTATTAAGAATATCCATCAACACGAAAACCTATGAAGTAATGACATCTGGCAATATTGCACAGTCTTTGAAAACAAACATTCAATAAAAACCTATTATATAGTAAAATATTTCAGAACTTTCATGTTTGCAGTCATTTTTGGTCCCATTTCTTTCATATACACCCAAAAATTAGGGGCTGAAATCATGTCTTCATCAAAACGTCTGATGTAAGTTACAGTAGAGAATTACCGGTTATCTAGTAACATTTGAAGCACCCATATCATCAAGTGACAAGTCTGAGGATGTCAAGATCAACCAAGAGTATTCAAACAAAATCAGTATGTTGCTGAAAATATGTGAAATATATGAATGTATAGAACAATGTAGCCTCATTATTGAAAATACTATCTCATCATTCATATATAACATCCCTGAATTCGCCTGTTCTATACATTTTCAGAAACATACTAGTTTAGTCTTAATGGTGCTTGTCATCCTGACAGATCTGTATATAGAGTCATATTAAGAGGAGAGGATCTTCTGTGGCTAGATTCTGTTGTAGGTGTACTAAACATACTTTCCAATAATACTCATGTGATGACTTCTCTATGTTTTGGAGACTTACACCTAACACAAAGATGTCATTTGCTGCTAGCTGTTTACCATACTCGACATCAAAATGTATTGTGCTAAATGAAACAAAAATACTTTTAATTTGGTAGAGTTAGCCCCCCCCAAAAAAAGTCAACAATGAACATGTATGACAAATGAGTCAAACAGGTCAAGTAGGCCAAAACAAATTCTAAAGGCCTCTTAATACTCAGCCGTGACGTGACAGTGCTGTGACCGGCACGTGATCCGCCCGGCGAAACTAAAAACATTCTTCCTGGAATTTGGAACTGATTCACACTAGACCGGCAGGTGGAAGTGGCCGTGTTCTCAGTGCCCTCATTCGTACCGTGATCATCGCATAGTTTTGGAACGATATTTTTCGATTTTCACGGCCGTGTTTTTATGTAATTTGGTGAATATTTTGATATACAGGGTTTGCCCGATTTAAAAAAAAATATTGCGCCAATCGTTACCATTCTTTAAAAACTTTCAAAATAGGCTTCTTCTGCGTCGATGCAGTGCTGCCAGCGCGATTTCCAAGCATTGAAGGCGTCACGGAAGGCATTCTCCAGAATAGCCTTGAGAGCCGCGGTGCATGCTGCTTGGATCCCCTCTGTCGTCTCAAAATGCTTGCCTTTGATTGGCCTTTTCAGGCAAGGAAACAAAAAAGTCCTGGGGGGCCACATCTGGGCTGTAGGGCGGCCGCGAAAGTGTTGGGATGCCGGCCTTGGTCAGGTAGCTGTTCACAAGAAAGGCGGTCTGAGCCGGGGCGTTGTCGTGGTGCAACTTCCAGTCGGCTGCGATGTCTTGTCGGACCCGACTGACCCTTCGTTTGAGTCTCCTGAGCACTTCCACGTAAAACTTGGCGTTGACGGTTTGTCCAGGAGGAACAAATTCATGGTGGACGATGCCAGAAAAGACAGTGAGCATCGTTTTCAACTTGGATTTGCTCATTCTTCCTTCTTTTTATTCCCTTTTTTCATCATATCAAACGTCTCTGTCGCAGATTTACCCGAGTTTCACACAGAATTTAATCGCGTACCTCTGCTCTAACGAACGCTGCATTTTCGCCTTGCACCACTCACAGAAACACGTCGCGCGCGAAAATACCTGTCCTGACTCTCCAAGTGCTCGGAGACAATTGACCAGCCGCTCATTCGTTAGCTAGGAACGCCCTCTACCCGAATCCAGTCGGTGCGCGCACGCTTCGAAGGACAGTCATGGCGGAAGAAAATTTTCCGGACAAACCCTGTATTGGTCAAAAACATGAATGATGAAGAAATAATTGAAATTGCACGCGTCATCCCGTGCTATAGAACCAGTCAAATTCAAAATACAAGGTCTTCCTTTTTCTCTTCTCGTTTTCTCTTCTTTCTTCCTTTTTCTTCTCGTTGTCTTCTGCTTCATCTTTCGTAGGTGGTAGACGGTCTCTGACTGTCGAACGCGAAGGTACCACCCTGCGGATCTCGTAGGCGGGGCCAGAATGTGTGCATGTTGCATGCACACGTGTTCCCTCGCCAGAGTCCGTGTGGCGTCCCCCCTTTCCCCTGTGTTTCCCACTATAGCACCGCGGTACCCATGGGTGTTTAGGCCTTCGTGGTAGTTGGAGTTTAAAAAAATCCAGAATTAATGCAATAATTGCAAGTTTATCCTCTGAAAATTTTGCCATCTCGACCTCACGTGAACACAACTGCACTGTCAGAGCACGGAGAAAAATACTGACTGGTGTGAATTGAAAAACTGTGAGCTCACGTCAGCGAGAATCACTGGCACGTCACCCCACACTGTCACGTCACGGCTGAGTGTGAATAGACCTTTAGACAGTTCTCAGCCATTGGACAAGCAATGCCATCATTGCTATAAGACTGGCTATGAGACATTCACCATAGCCTAGATAGTTTTTTGCTCCATACCAATCATATACAATGTGTACACTTAGGCAGTTGGGCACATGAGCGACATAAATAATTGAGAAACTTGGTATAAATATTACAATATGTCACGTGACGAAGCTTCAAGGTCAGGGGTAAAACAATAATATTCACAATCTTATAACCAAGAATGGAGAAAGGAGTTCCCAGGGTGGTTTGAAGA